TATGTTGCTCCAACACCCCGTTATACTTGTTGAGCTCCCGTATGACCTGATAATAGTACAGTATACTACACCCGCCCACGGCCCTATTCTCATATTTCCACATAGCGCCGGTACATCCAGGTTTTCCAATGTAATGTAGACCCCTGAATTTAAAAAGCTTCCCCCAAATAGGGATTATAATAGGGATCCTAGTATAAAGGCCCTTGAAAGGAGGGGGTTTATTAATCATGGGTCTACATAACCCAAAATGATAGTTTCCATTTTCTTTTCCATTATCCCAATATATCCCCTTTGTTCCCTGAACCCTAAGCCCGATATACCCCTATCATATAACCTTACATAACCTCATGGGTCTACATTACTTGCCATGCTCTTGTCCATCTGATTTCCCACAATTCCTGCAGTCCTTTCGTGACCACAAGAGTGTATAGTCCCCCTTCAGTAGATAGAATATGGCTTTGGGTACATTAGAATAAGATCCCCATATACCCCATATTCTATCTACTTTCATCATTGGTGGAAGTAGTCCACCTTAACTGCGAGTTAAGGGTTTTAGGGCTCCATCAATTAACCCTAAAAGTGGCTCAGCAGGGACCTGACCACTTCTTTACGTTTGCAAAAGACCTTCCCGCACTTGTAGCCTATACGTTGACTTGCAAACCCGCATCCAAACTTGTAAGGGCTGCGTGTGCTGAAAATGCACCCCGCAGAGTGACCCAATGGAGTCGGAGCCTTTGGATCATAGTTGTATCTAAACAGCCACATGATGGCAACACACCCTCAGGCTGTATTGCTCTGCAGCGGAGTACATTGCCAGGAGCGCAGACATGCAGCTTGTTGCGTCTGCTCATTTGCAATGGGGCCACGGTTCGGGGGCTAAGGTGTAGGACCATAGGCCCCTTTCGGGTTCCTCGCGCTAAGGATTGCTGTTGGGGTATATAATGGACTCTAGCTGTGAGCTCATTTCAGGTATGGGAGTACATGTCACCTGGGTGATATTCCAAGATGGTGGCTGTTGTTCTGGGGCATGCTATTATTAGGTGGGGTTTTCCGGTGCTCGGGTACGCAATTCTCCTTCTAGTAGCAGTGTCCAGAGTCACTAGGACAAGATTACAGTATATTACAGTCATCCTGATCCCATTAACCACTACCATATGCCCCTGTAGAATCTCTATACAATTCCTACATACCACCAATTAGGATTTAGGGGCCGGGGTTGGGGTTCCGAAGCCCTAAACCCTTCTATCCAACCCCCAACAACATCAGCTGACGCTTCGGACTCGGCAGGCTTTGGGCATCGACCAGGCCCCCGCCGAGCCCAGTGGGCAACCCAGCCCAGCTTGCTTTCCACTGGGCTTAACTGGCAGGTCCCTGAAATCAAGTTGTAGATACTGTTATCTAAGATCTGAATAACCAGCTGAAATCATAATTCCTGCCAGGGTTCAGGGAACTTAAAGTTCAGGGTTCAGTTCAGGGTTCAGTGTCTAGTGTAATCGCTGTGGCGCGGGCCTTGGCTTTAGACAGGGTTAGAACCTGGGGGCTAGGGATTAGGCATTGAATCTGATAGTCTCCAGTGGGTTTCTGTTAAGGTTTTCCCAGGGCTTGAGGGTGTTCTGAAGGGGGCTGCGGAAAAAAAACGTCGTGGCTCGAAGGGTTTACGGTCCATTGCTTAAGGCTCTAGGGTTTAAGAGTGAATGCAAGAGGGGCTGCATACAGGAAATGATCCATCGTCGGCCGCAGTTGAGGTTCTGAAATTATTGCCAGATGGCCGACCGATTCAACGTTCCATTGTCTTGTCCATTTTATTCCCCGTTATGGGAATGTTTCAGGCCCCAGGACCCTTTGTAAACAAATATTTCCCCTTGAAGGAGGTTATGTATTCCTGTAAACTCTATAAACCCTCAAACTCAAAGTCCTTAGCAGGAACCCATGGCAAGTAAGTCTTGCTAAGGACCTCCATCAGCCGAGCGCGGCGAACTCAGGGACTGGTGCGCTTGGGTTTAGGGTTAGGGGTTAAGGGTTAAGGGTTAGGGGTTTAGGGGCTAGGGTTTCGGGGGTTAAGGTTTAAACACAGGGAGGCTTTTTTTTTGGTGGCTATTATCCCAGAAAAGGAAGATCAAATGGAAAGGGAATGGAACATGACATGGAAATTGGCAGTATGTTGTGGTTCATAGAGTTCAGGATTTGCCAAAATCAAAGGGCCCCTTTACCGGGACATACGGAGTTTAGGATTTCGGCCTCCTATGAGCGACGAAAACCAAAAAGACCCTAAACCCCATGCCCTCCTTTCCAAGCAATCCTTTCTACCATCATTGATGAGATGCGTACATTTAAAAAGTACGGTTTGGGCTGCTGTCACGCGTTCTGGTGTTCGCCTATTATAAACGGACGCGAAAGTGAATGTTTTAATTGGAAGTCCTTATGCTTTTGATCTATTGTGGTTCCCTTGTACATGTTATGGTATAGTGTCATCAAATAATGTTGGACCTGCTTTAGTGTTGGGCCCACCCCAACAATAGGGCCATCCGAATAAATGCAGGTCCCTCAATAAGGGCCCTGAGCTTCCCCTCGGTCCTGAGGTCCCTGTGAATTGATGCGCAGGGGAGTGTTGTGAAACTTTCCTATATTTCTCAGGCACCAAAATCAAAACAAATCATAGCGAATCTCACATCATTACCCCTAATCCTGAATAAGCCGGCCCCAGGACACATATAGAGGACCTCAAGGCAAAACCGGGTCCAACATGAGACCTCAGAATGAGATTGGTGATTACATAGGCTTCTATCTGAAACCCGTTATGAACGTCCAGTAGAACCCCAAGTAACATCTCGTTTCCATATTCTTTCCCAATTTGATCTCCCATTATTGGTAAGCATTTAGGCCCCAACAACCTATAAGCCCTGTCTATCCTCTGTACATCCCTGTACAGCCTGCTATTATCCTTTAATGGACCATTCTCAGAGCATTGGCCTTCAGAATGTTGCTTTCACATTATGGACCCGACCCACATTTACAAAAATCCCGCCGCGAGAACACAGTTATAGCAAGACCCACAAATCTGATATTCTCGGAAATGATCTGCTTCCCAGGGACAATTGATTTAAGTAGACGTGAATTGAGTATATATAGATTGTCCAACATTTTGGGCATCATAACCTCGAAGCACCGCCAAAATGGAGATTGACCAATCGAGTAATACTGTCTATATACAGGGCCGTGGTACTAGTGTTGCTTCTTGCGGCTCTAAAGGCTAAAACGAAAACCCTAAACCCTCTAAGAATTCTTTTCCATTATCGCAGCAAGTGTTTTTTACGCGCATAAAAAATCCTCTAAGAATTCTTTTCCATTATCCCTTTTGAGTCATTGCTGCACTCAGGCTTGCACGGCTTCCTTGGCGCCCTGGCGCCGGAGGATTGCTTGGGTCAGCCAGCTTCGTCAAGTTTAGGGCTCATTCACTGGAAACTACTATGGTCTATTGGGGTTATATGGGGAAAATGGGAAAGAAGCTACTATAGTATATTGGGGTTATACAGGGATAACCTGAGCCCTAAGCCCTGAGCCGATTCTGAACACATGCTAAAGCTTCGGTTGTGTTCGGCGGGGTATCAAAAGCTCCAAGGGCCAGAGATCTTCCCTTGGCATTTTCTCATGAAGCAGGTTGCATAGGGTCAGGGACGCCAGCATGGGGGGCCCCGGCCAGGAGTATGTAGTGTCCTGTAGTCCCTTGCAGCCTCCATCACAGATAACATACAGTGTGTTGTAACACGCCTACCTAGGTTTGAGCTGTCCTTTGAAACAAAAGTCCTATTGTGTTCCTTATCTGAACTTGCATTGACAGATGGCTTGGCATGCACGGAAAGATGGCGTGATTCATCTAGACTGGGGGGGCCAATCACCTACATGTGCATGCATTTTTTCAGCTGATGTTTTTCCAAAGGTTCCAGGTCACAGTGGGTTTCCCTGCATTCACAAGTTCATTTTTGCAACCCCGGCCGCTATCATATGGACACCATGAGAATATTATGATAGTCATAGGATGTTGATTTTGTGATGTTGTGAGTTGGGTAGCCAAAATCACATTGTTAATCATAGAATACCAACTGCTCTCTGGTGAGCCCTATAAACACCCATCGTATTCGGGACCTTATATCTTGTATGTAGCTGTACCTGGTGGGTCTCGGTACATGAATCCGTCTTGATGCTCATGGCAAATCAGACATTCAACCCAAACCCTCAGCCCTAGACCCTAAACAAACCCTAAACCCTAAACCTTAACCGGCTCTTGAAGGCCTAGTCGCTCATGGCCAGGGGATTGGAAGCAGGCTGCTGCTACTTTCGTAGCTTTCAGGCTCAATCCCAGGGCCGGTGGCCAACTCCTTAAAAGGGGGGGTTTAGGGTTTAGGGCGATAATAATAAAAACTCCGTGGAGTGGTTATATAGGGGAGTATATAGGGGACTATTATAAGGGATATTAAGGGAGGGGGAAACTAGGAGTTTAGACGATGGCTCACATGTTTCGTGTTTAGGGTTTTAGGGTTTGGGTTTCAGTCAGGGTTTAGGGTTTCAGGTCTTTAGGGTTTAGATGGGTGTAGGTTTAGGGCTTTTGGTTTAGAGTTTAGGGCTTAGGGTGAACTATGTGCATGTATACATATACTGTACATCCATACCTGTTACGACTTAACCAGTATACTAGTTATGGGTAGGATACTCCACGCTATGCCATACTTTATTATACTTGTATATTCAGCATATACAGAAACTGCATAATGTATTGCTAGACATATACGAATTTCATATGTTGCTTCATGACCTCATAGTAGCAAGGATTGCGATTTCAGAGAGACATGCCGAATGTGTCATGTTTGGCTCGTAGGTCTTGAGGAGAAGACCGCTAAAGGCAGGATATTGTTTGAGGGATGCTGTTGAGTCTCAAGACTGGGTCTGATTTGTGATGTACCGTCCTGCTTTGGGGTGTCAGGCGGCACCTAGACTGTGATAAGCACTTTCACACTTTGCTTCAAGCACCGGCTGGCATCGCAATGGACACGCTGTGCTGCGCGACGTTTCTTTGTACATTCCCCCTGAACTCCATCGCTGCATGCGTGAGCGCCACAGTGCCATGCCTCGCATGGGCGCCAACCACTTACAATGGAATCGGGCTCACGGTAGATGTATGCCAGGATAATGAAGCCATACCAGCAGCAGTATTATCGGGTAGAGGTATAGGGCATATCAGGTGGTGCAAGATTTCGTACAGCCGCATTTGCATCACTCTGAGGCTATATTTGGGGGGTTGAACTGTGATGATGAAGTGTAGTTGCTACTTCTACTACGAACACCACCACCACCGCCGCCGCCGCCCCCACCGCCGCCGCCGCCGCCGCCCCCACCACCACCACCACCGCCACCGCCACCGCCACCGCCACCGCCACCCCCACCCCCACC